TTTCGCACGGGTGCCAGGCTCTTGGTCGCCGCCAGCGTGCTTCGCTAATTTGTGTTTTATCAGCTCTGTTTTAGTGATATAAACGGCACGAGTAGGAATATCAATTACCAGCTAACTGCGGCGAGAGTCTGTTTTATGGGATTTAATGATTTCTCTTGTTTTGAAAAAGGCCTTGTGACGCTAACAATAAAGAACTCTGTAAATCATCTGGATGGATCGTGTTCCAGGAAAGGCGGTTTTTAGTCTTTTATTGCGTATCTTCCCAATAATTAATTGCACTAGCAATTATGAAGACGTTTGTGGTAATAAAGGTGCCATTACCAAAAAGTGACTTTCTTAACATGGGTCCTGTGTTTACCGAACTCCTACAATGTCTCTTAACTGTAGATGTTTGCTGTCATCTAGGAATATAGAGAGAGATCGCAATGCTGTGAAGTAAGTGTAGAGCATGAACATAACCTTTTCAGAGATGTGATATTATACATCATCCTCTAAACTGGAAAAAGGGAAAGTCCGTTTAATGAGCTGCTTCAATGATGTAGGCTGAAAACAGGAGATAGTCATCAGTTAGGCCTTCTGATTACATGTTTTGATTAAAAGACAAAGCATTTTTCTATAATCTTGCTGATTTTATCATTAGTTTTCCTAATCCTCTTAGATATGGGCAGAAGGTGTGCAGTTCAGTCCTTGGGCAGACCGTTGTAGTGTTCTTGCAGTGCTATGAGGAAAGCTCCTCTTTCATGTTATCCTTTTCTGTTGCTCTATCTCCACCTTCTTCTGTACTCATGACTGTATTTTTTTTGATCCATAATTTACAGTTAGGATGTATAGAAAAGACTGGAATAAAAATAATGCTGTGCTTGCAGAGGGAAACGTGCTATGGGGAAAAGAATAGAGTTTGACTGTTTTAAAGAATTGTTAAGATATAGGGTTTACGTTTACCTGAGCTTTCTTTCAACTGCCTTTGATAATGTTTAAGATGATCTGTAAGTGGTGATAGAAGTGACATACATCTATACGAGAACTGCGTATAGTTCACTGTATTCAGCTGGAGCTCCATTTAGCGTTGCTGACAAATCATTCACTGTGAAAAAACATTAATCAACAGCTGAACAGATGTAGGTTCAATTCTCCATATGATTAACTGGACTGCTAGTTATGCAACGTAATATAATTACATAGATATGCTGAGCCTTTCATAAACATGTTACCATGCATCTTTTCTGGAAAATATGCATATGCAGATTCTGGTGAGATTGAACTCCTTGTGACCACTGAGTAAGGTTAATTGAATCCAACTCTAAGTTATTTTATGAAATGTGTGTAGATTTGTAGTGCTATTTTCTCTGGGACCCTCTCATTGGAGCATGAGAAGTTTTATTAACATGACATATCTTGGAGATACTGAGTTCAACTCTGTTGTCCTTACTCAAGCAAAAATTTCCATAGACTTATGAATCCATCTGTGAAGATTCAGTGAGATTTTCTAACTATGTAATCAGACGATTCAGATGGTAACTATGAAGCTAATATTATTTATTTAAATTTGTCAGTGTTACTAAGTTTTCACAAACAGGAAAAGGTCAAAGAGTGTTTACTGACATGTCACCTATACAGCCGCTGCCATTCCCTCTTTACTAAAGAACAATTATTCAGTGAGACGGACTTGGATTTCAGCTTTTTAAATTTATTTCCTCTCAATGTCAAGAATGTTTAGAAAAATGAACTAGTGATTCATTAAAAGGCCTCTCCATATGCATTTTTACAATTTATGATCTTCTATATTGTGTGTGTGCATTTGAGCATAATCTAGTTCTTGGTTTGACAGGTCATTGATTGAAGAAATTCTTTGTTTATTCATTAGTTTATTTTGTTATTTGAACATGGTTATTTGTCTTTTGATGTAGAATCTGCTGCAACAAGAATCTTGATTCCAGTGGTGCATACAGTATAAGGATAATAATAATTCCTTAAGTGACAGTGAGTTGCAAGCAAATGCTTAAGTTCATGGGTCAACATAGCAATTCATTATTGGATAGAGAACATTGCTGATCGAGGTATATGGTAAATTAAATCTCCAACCATTATTTCTGGTAGAGGTTCAATACATTTCCTATTTTGTTCTTCTTAAATTAGCTTTGTGAACTTCCTGTGTATGATAAACAGTATTACAGGGCTCATATTGTCATGCCACAGGATGAGGATAGATATTCTCACAATAGAAAAAGAGATACAATCTTTCAAGTATCAAATGAATTAATTTGTTGTATCCAAGTCTATATGGTTATGAATAATACTGCTTGACCTTTCAACTCTTACCTTGAAATTTCAAGGTATTTTTCAGTAGTGGGAAGTTATCAATATCCTTTTTTTTTTTTTTTTTTTTTACCAGTTGGAAAAGTTCCCAAAGCAGGTGGCTAATCTAAGGCTATGCAGTGATTTAGTAGCAAGTGTAAACAGAACACATGCCTTTTGTCTCAGTTCCAGCCTGTAGCCACTAGATGGGTATGAAACTTTTGAACGAGTTGCAAGCGTTTCTGAGGAAGAATAAAAAAGAATATTTGAGGAAAAAAAATATTTGATCCCTGCTAGAAATAAGCTTAACTGAAAGAAATGGAGGTGTGCCTAACAACTGTTATCTACTTTCAAATGCAGCTTGTATAAATTCCATAAATGGTGCAGTTTGTCAAATGTACCAGTCATTTAATAGCTAGGGAGGTGCTGAGGGTCATCAGTCGGCTCTGAGCAGGAGACGTCCAGGTGATGAGCCCTCCACTGTAGTGAGCAGCAGGACCCTCTCAGGCACTTGGTCACTCTCAAACCCCTTAGAGTCATGTCTCCTCCTGGCTGTGAAACTCATGGGGTGATGGTGCACTTCTACCTCCCCCCAGGATGCAACAGAGGGAGGTTCAGGGTGCTCAAGGGCAATATGTGGCCAGGTTCCGTTTCTTTTACACCCCATCATGGTCAGTAGGACAACCTCAGTAAAGTCAGCAGAAGTTGTGGCCTCTAAATATGCATTTGTATTTGTTTATGGATGTTAGAACGAATGAAACCTGCTTTCCCAAGGAATTCTGTCTTTTGTTGAGTGAAGCTTTTCCCCAGTGAAACACTGATAAGAACACTTTCTCTTATGCATCTTTTTCTTGTGTCTAATAACATATTGCAGCTTTTTTCTGTTGCGAAAGGTTGAGAAAAATATTCGGATTCTTGCAGTTTCTCGTGTCTGTTTTGTCACTTATTTTCAAGAAGTGTGGCCATTTTTCAGATACGCTGGGCTGAAGTCAGCCAACTGATTAAGAAATTGGTAGAAGCACACACAGAGAATATAGCTGTGCAGCTCTCACCGCTTTAGAAGACCAGACTATAAGTGCAACCTTGCATAGGACGTATGTTCTATGATGTAATAAGTTTGTAAACTGGATGTCACATCCTCACTTTATGGCTTTTCAGTATATGGGATAAGAGCTTACTACTGGTGACAGCTGGTGATATTTCTTCTTGGTTCCATGTGTTGGTGGTCCAGGCTTTGAGTTTGAATATTTGAGCTCCCCGCTGCTCTGTGGAGGTCTGTGGGGGAGAAAGGAGTAACCACAAGAAATTGAATGAGTATCCAAATGGTTAAGGCTATGCCTTTGTCGTGAATAGGATTTACAATTTCAGAAGAGAACAGTATATATTTTTAATTGAGGAAATGATCGTATCTTCCGTAAAATCAGATACTAGGTTGATTTCTGCAACTTTCTAAGAAATGGCAACGCTCACATGTGATTCTCATGTGTACTAGAGATCTTTTTGCAATGAAAGAAAAAAAATAAATGGTTTGAAGATGACTTTTTTTTTTTTAAGTAGGCGTCTACCTCAAGGTGTTTCCAAAATGAAATTTTGTGGTAGTTTTATGGAAAAAAAAAAGCACCTTGCTTGAGGAGAGGGACTGCATTTTGGGAAGGTTTTCAGATGCTTTTTCTCTGTGGAGTGGTGTGGCGCATGGCCTAGTATGACAGCTGCCGAAAAAGAGCGTAGGCTAGGCAAGCCGCCTGGGCAGTAGGAAAAGGGGAATGGGAACGATTAGGAGACTGAAAGCAGGAAGAATGAAGCTAGAAGGAACACGTAGATCAGAAAAGGTAAGATACTGAGCTTAGTGATGATAAATTGCTACTAATTGAATATCATAAATGCTTCATTATCTGTGAAGCTGCCTTGCAAACAGAACTAGCTGTGTTCAGTCCTGAGATGACACTGTGTAAATGCAGCTTTAAATCCGTATGACTTCATCCATTTCAGTGGAGTTACTAGCTTAGAACAGGAGTTAAGCAGTGGAGAAC